AAAACTCAAAAGCACAAATAAATAAATGAATAATCCCTCTCTAATCCTCACAACTAAATGAGCTCTAGGGGGTAAGATTCCGTGTGCTGGGGACTCAACTTGTATTTGAAAAGACCCCCCATTATAAATAACCCTCCAACTTCATGTACTCGCACCTTCAAAAACATACACCAGCAAAAACTCTAAGAATACTAATTTCTAAGCCCATAATAAACACATGGATCTCATTTCACAATGCCTCTTGTTGGCCTCCTCAACCTTTCTTCTCATTCTATTTGTCCTCAACAAGTTTTTCTCGGGCCGGGCCAAGCTCCCGCTACCTCCGGGCACCCTGGGCTTCCCCTTCCTCGGCGAAACCTTTCGGTTCTACTCCATGAACCCCAACACTTTCTTCTCCGACAAAGTCAAGAAGTAAGCTCTCATCTTTTTCTTATTCATTAGAGTAACTGTAGTATTACTGTATTAGTATTTGTTCTTTGCTTTGAATTTTGAACAAATTCAGGTACGGCCGCATATTCAAGACTCGGATACTCTGGTGCAAGTGCATAATGATCGCAAGCCCGGAGGCTGCCAAAATGGTTCTGGTCTCCAAGGCCCACATCTTCAAGCCAACATTCCCGATCAGCAAAGAGAGAATGTTGGGCCGCCAGGCCATTTTCTTTCACCAGGGTGACTACCACGCCAAGCTCAGAAAGCTCGTCCTTCGGGCCTTCATGCCCGAGTCCATCAAGACCATCATCCCGCACATCGAGTCCATAGCCATCCGGGCCCTATCCTCGTGCCAAGGCAGAGTCGTCACCGCATTCCCAGAACTGAAAACCGTACGTCTCGATTCCGAATTTTTCCCCTGCTTTCATTTCTTTATATACTTTAAAAATTAGTTTTTATTTTTCCATGCAGTACGCGTTCAATGTGGCGCTGCTTTCCATTTTCGGAAGGGGAGAAGTGGTTTACAGAGAAGATCTCAAGCGGTGTTACTACGAGCTCGAGAAGGGGTACAACTCGCTAGCCATCAATGTTCCGGGCACGCTCTTTTACCGGGCCATGAAGGCCCGAAAGGAGCTGGCCCGAATACTGGCTAATATTATGATGCTGAGGAGGCAGATGAAGCAGAGTCATAATAATGACCTGCTGGGCTCACTCATGCAGGATTCTGAAGGTTTGACAGACGAGCAGATTGCGGATAATGTTATAGGCGTGATTTTCGCTTCTCGTGATACAACGGCTAGTGTCCTCACATGGGTTCTCAAGCATCTTGTTGAGAACCCAGATGTTCTTAAATCTGTCACTGTAAGAATCTCAATCCTTTGTTATTCCTAGAGAATGAATAACTAGAGTCTACATACTTGTTTTCGAACACGACACCATTATTTGATGTGGATAACATATTTTATCGACCCATCGTGTTTATATATTTTTATATATTGGATTTTTATTTATTTTACAGGAAGAGCAAGAGGGAATAAAGAAGGCAAATGAGGGGAAAGGTCTAAGTTGGGCAGACACAAGGAATATGCCAGCCACAGTAAGAGTTATTCAGGAGACACTCAGAATTGCTTCAGTCTTGTCTTTTACATTCAGGGAAGCTGTTGAAGATGTGGAGTATGAGGGTAGGTTCAATTTTTTCTTTATTTTTTTTCAAAATCAATATCATGAACAATATATAGAGCAAATGGCAAACCAAAAGAGTTGCTAACTGTCTTCTCCTTAATAAAATTTACCAGGATATCGCATTCCGAAAGGATGGAAAGTGATGCCACTCTTCAGGTACATTCACCACAGTCCTGAAATTTACACGGAGCCGGAGAAATTTAACCCTTCGAGATTTGAGGTAAAAGTTAAAAAACAAATGGAAAAATAAGTAATGATTTTTATTATCCATGATTTGAGGAGTAAATGGTTTTTTTTTTTTTT